TCTCCTCTCCTCCTCTCCTCCTCCTCTCCTCTCTCTCCCTCCTCCTCTCTCTCTCTCCTCCTCCTCTCCTCCTCCTCTCCTCTCCTCCTCTCCTCCTCCTCCTCCTCTCCTCTCCTCCTCCTCCTCTCCTCCTCTCCTCTCTCTCCTCCTCCTCCTCTCTCCTCTCTCTCTCCTCTCCTCTCCTCCTCTCTCTCCTCCTCTCCTCTCCTCCTCTCTCCTCTCCTCTCTCTCCTCCTCTCCTCTCCTCCTCTCCTCCTCTCCTCCCTCTCCTCTCCTCTCTCTCTCTCCTCCTCCTCTCTCCTCCTCTCCTCCTCCTCCTCTCTCTCCCTCCTCCTCTCCTCCTCTCTCTCCCTCCTCCCTCCTCTCCTCCTCCCTCTCCTCCTCCCTCCTCTCCCTCTCTCTCCTCCTCTCCTCCCTCTCCTCTCTCCTCCTCCTCTCCTCCTCTCTCTCCTCCCTCCTCTCTCCTCCTCCTCCTCCCCTCCTCCTCTCCTCCTCTCCTCTCTCCTCCTCTCCTCCTCTCACTCTCCTCCCTCTCTCCTCCTCCTCCTCCTCCTCTCCCTCTCCCTCCTCTCCTCCTCTCTCTCCTCCTCCTCTCTCCTCCTCTCTCCTCCTCTCTCCTCTCCTCCTCCTCTCCTCCTCTCTCCTCCTCTCCTCCCTCCTCCTCCTCTCCTCCTCCTCCTCCTCTCCTCCTCTCCCTCTCTCCTCTCCTCCTCCTCTCCTCTCTCCTCTCTCCTCCTCTCTCCTCCCTCCTCTCCTCCTCTCCTCTCCTCTCTCTCCTCCTCTCCTCCCTCTCCTCCTCCTCCTCTCCTCTCCCTCCCTCCTCCTCCTCTCTCCTCTCTCCTCCTCCTCTCCTCTCCTCTCCTCTCCTCCTCCTCTCCTCCTCTCCTCCTCCTCTCTCTCCTCCTCCTCTCCTCCTCCTCTCCTCCTCTCCTCCTTTCCTCTCCTCCTCCTCTCTCCTCCTCTCCTCTCCTCTCTCCTCTCTCCTCCTCTCTCCTCTCCTCTCTCCTCCTCTCCTCCTCCCTCTCCTCCTCCTCCTCCTCTCCTCTCCTCTCCTCTCTCTCCTCCTCCTCCTCTCCTCCCTCTCTCTCTCTCTCTCTCTCTCTCCTCCTCTCTCTCTCTCTCCTCCTCTCTCCTCTCCTCTCCTCCTCTCTCTCCTCTCTCTCCTCTCTCCTCCTCCTCTCCTCTCCTCCTCTCCTCTCCTCCTCTCCTCCTCCTCTCTCCTCCTCCTCCTCTCCTCCTCTCCTCCTCTCCTCCTCTCTCTCCTCTCCTCCTCCTCTCCTCCTCTCTCCTCTCTCCTCTCCTCTCCTCTCCTCCCTCTCCTCCTCTCCTCTCTCCTCCTCTCCTCCTCCTCTCCTCCTCCTCTCCTCTCCTCCTCCTCCTCTCTCCTCTCCTCTCTCTCCTCTCTCCTCCTCCTCTCTCCTCCTCTCCTCCTCCTCTCTCCTCTCTCCTCTCTCTCTCTCCTCTCCTCTCCTCTCTCTCTCCTCTCTCTCCTCTCTCCTCCTCTCCTCCTTCCCTCTCCTCTCCTCCTCCTCTCCTCCTCTCTCTCCTCTCTCCTCTCTCTCATCCTCTCCTCTCCTCCTCTCCTCCTCCTCTCTCCTCTCTCCTCCTCCTCCCCTCCTCCTCCTCCTCCTCCCTCCTCCTCCTCTCCTCCTCCTCCTCCTCTCCTCCTCTCTCTCCTCTCCTCCTCTCTCCTCTCCTCCTCTCTCTCTCTCCTCCTCTCTCTCTCTCTCCCTCCTCTCTCCTCCTCTCCTCTCCTCCTCTCTCCTCCTCTCCTCCTCTCCTCTCCTCCTCTCCTCTCTCCTCCTCTCTCTCCTCTCTCTCTTCTCTCTCCTCCTCCTCTCCTCTCCTCTCCTCTCTCCTCCTCCCCTCCTCCTCCTCCTCCTCCTCCTCTCTCCTCTCCTCTCTCCTCCTCCTCTCCTCCTCCTCCTCCTCTCCTCTCCTCTCTCCTCTCCTCCTCTCCTCTCCTTCTCCTCCTCCTCCTCTCTCTCTCTCCTCCTCCTCCTCCTCTCTCCTCCTCCTCCTCTCTCTCTCCTCCTCTCCTCCTCTCCTCCTCCCCTCCTCCTCTCCTCCTCTCCTCTCCTCCTCTCCTCCCTCCTCTCTCCTCCTCTCCTCCTCCCTCTCCTCCTCTCTCCCTCTCTCCTCTCTCCTCCTCCTCCTCTCCTCCTCTCTCTCCTCCTCTCCTCCTCTCTCTCCTCCTTCCTCCTCTCCTCCTCTCTCCTCCTCCTCCTCCTCCCTCCTCCTCTCCTCCTCCTCTCCTCTTCCTCTCTCTCCTCTCTCCTCCTCCTCTCCTCTCTCCTCTCTCTCCTCCTCCTCCTCCTCTCCTCCTCCTCTCTCCTCCTCTCCTCCTCTCTCCTCCTCTCCCTCCTCTCTCCTCTCCTCCTCTCTCCTCCTCTCTCCTCCTCTCCTTCTTTTTTTTTTTCTTTTTCTTTATCTGAATATAAAAATGAAAAAGAAAAATCTGGTGTAAAAGTTGAATTTACTGTAAGAGATTTTATTTCACTAAACACAAACTGATTACATTTGTGGTTTATGAGTCCAGGTTTCAGTCCTGGTTTAAGTCCTGGTTTCAGTCTGGTTTAGTCCTGGTTTAGTCCTGGTTTAGTCCTGGTGGTTAGTCCTAGTCCTGTTTAGTCCTGGTTTAGTCCTGGTTTAGTCCTGGTGGTTAGTCCTGGTTTAGTCCTGGTTTAGTCCTGGTTAGTCAGTCCTGGTCCTGGTTTAGTCCTGGTTTAGTCCTGGTTTAGTCCTGGTTTAGTCCTGGTTTAGTCCTGGTTTAGTCCTGGTTCAGTCCTGGTTTAGTCCTGGTTTAGTCCTGGTTTAGTCCAGTCCTGGTTTAGTCCTGGTTTAGTCCTGGTTTAGTCCTGGTTTAGTCCTGGTTTAGTCCTGGTTTAGTGCTTGTTTTAGTCCTGGTTTAGTTCTGGTTTAGTCCTGGTTTAGTCCTGGTCCAGTCCTGGTTTTAGTCCTGGTTTAGTCCTGGTTTAGTCCTGGTTTATGGTTTAGTCCTGGTTTAGTCCTGGTTTAGTCCTGGTTTAGTCCTGGTTTAGTCCTTCCTCAGGTGTATTTCTTTTGGAGTTTTTTCTTGTTCCTGATCAAATGAATTGAACCAAGAGAAAATAAAACACCCCCGTCCTGGAGGTGGCGCTGTGACTGTGCAGGAGTCAAACTCACACTTACAGAGGTTTTAATTGTGTTGTTGTGATTGTCGGAGTCGTGCTACGTTACTATTGTTCAAACATTCAGGTTTTCCCACATGAACAACTCACTGAAAAAATGTTGACTAAAACTAGTTTGACCAAACGTCTGTTTTTCCCTGGACATGTCCGTATTTTGCGTCATGTCCGGTTTTTTTTATAAAGTGATGCAAATGTCCGGGTTTTCAGCTCCGTTCACTGGGACATTAAACTGAGCGTCTCTCGTCTGTGACTCAGAAGGAGCGAGACACAAACAGTGGGTCTGAAACACACTGAAGCACAAATGAACATTTAACAACGACTTGGACAAGAAATTCTCTGTTTTCCGTCCCGGTCGGGACAAGTGTGAGTCCATGTGCACAGGCTGAGGTGAGAGGACAGTGTCCCTCGTTTATCTCAGGTGTTATGTTCTAAAAATAACCTGCGACAGGTGAAATCCACCAAGTATCAACTTTATATTTTACACTTATTCTGTCTGTTTTAAGTCTGTAAAACCTCAACACAAACTTTATACACTTTTCTCCGACAGGATCGACAGGTGCAACACTTTTTACTTCCTTCTTCAAACTTGTTGCTGCTGTCGTCCTTTTGTTATTTTCCTTCTTCTTTATGAAACAAACTGAAGATTCATTTTTTTGTGAAGACACAGTCAGTACAGGACCACACCTGCCAGTACAGGACACAACCTGCCAGACCACAGCACACCTGTACACACCTGCCAGTACAGGCACCGCACCTGCCAGTACAGGACCACACCTGCCAGTACAGGACACACCCTGCCAATACAGGACCACACCTGCACAGTACAGGACCACACCTGCCAGTACAGGACACACACACACCTGCCAGTACAGGACCACAGCCATACAGGACCTGTACAGGACCGCACCTGCCAGTACAGGACCGCACCTGCCAGTACAGGACCAGCACACCTGCCATACAGGACCACACCTGCCAGTACAGGACCCACCTGCAGTACAGGACCACACCTGCCAGTACAGGACCTGCACAATACAGGACCGCACCTGCCAGTACACACCTGCCCAACACCTGCACCTGCCAGTACAGGACCACACCTGCCAGTACAGGACCACACCTGCCAGTTAACCAGAGATTATATCAAACTTTTGTGCTGCCTATGACACGGACTGAACCAAGACTAAACCAGGACTAAACCAGGACTAAACCAGGACTGAAACCAGGACTAAACCAGGACTAAACCAGGACTAAACCAGGACTGAACCAAGACTAAACCAGGACTAAACCAGGACTAAACCAGGACTAAACCAGGACTAAACCAGGACTGAACCAGGACTAAACCAGGACTAAACCAGGACTAAACCAGGACTAAACCAGGACTAAACCAGGACTAAACCAGGACTAAACCAGGACTGAACCAGGACTAAACCAGGACTAAACCAGGACTCACCGTCAGGTCGGTTTGGTGGTGACACAGGAGAAAGGAGCGGTTCAGCTCTGCACCTCACGGAGGTAAACGCGGCAGTTGCCTGATCGAACTTTGTGGACAAACTGCTCAGTGTTTTCTCTCTTAAGTCCAAGATTAGTCCTGGTTTAGACCTGGTTTAGACCTGGTTTAGTCCTGGTTTAGTCCTGACCCACCCGTGTGTAATTACTACTCGCCTGTAACACACAACACACGTTCATATGCTGTAAAACAAAATGCAAAATTGCACTAAAAAAAAAATCAGAGAAACAGACCCGGTCCAGACCCGGTCCAGGCCCGGTCCAGGCCCGGTCCAGACCCGGTCCAGGCCCGGTCCAGACCCGGTCCAGGCCCGGTCCAGGACTCACCCTCTTGATGTCTTTGCCGAAGGTCTCGCTGAAGCTGGAGCCGAGGATCTCGAAGTGAACGTGAGAGTTTGAGCCGCTGTCGTTAAAATCCATGATCCCCGTCAAACCCGAGATGTTCCCCTGGAAAACAAGAACCACAAGAACCTGGGTTAGATCTGGGTTAGTCCTGGGTCAGTCCTGGTTTAGATCTGGGTTAGTCCTGGTGGAGTCCTGGTCATGGTTCAGTCCTGGTCTTGGTTCAGTCCTGGTCCCGTTTTGGTCTTATCCTGGTCCTGGTCTTTGTCCAGGGCTGGTTCTGGTCCAGTCTTGGTCCTGGTCCTAGTCTTGGTCTTGCTCTTTGTCCTGGTCTTGGTCCTAGTCCTAATCCTGGTCCCAGTCTTGGTCCTGGTCCTGATCCTGGTCCTGGTCCTGGTGGTCCTGGTCCTGGTCTTGTTCTTTGTCCTGGTCCTGGTCCTGATTCCAGTCCTGGTCTTGGTCTTGGTCCTGGTCCTGGTCTTGTTCTTTGTCCTGGTCCTGGTCCTGATTCCAGTCCCGGTCTTGGTCTTGGTCCTGGTCCTGGTCTCGGTCTGTTTCTGGTCTGACCTTTTCCGTGTGTCACGTCTTTAGTCTCACTTTGTTTTAAAACAACTTTTCAGACGCGACATTTTAAACCAACAAACACCACGAGCCACAAATCCATCAACATCAGACCAAGACCTGGACCAAGACCAAGACCTGGACCAAGACCAAGACCTGGACCAGACCCAGACCAGGACCAAACAGGATCCGCGGTGAAAGGTTGAAACTTTGTCTCTGGGGCAGATTTACAAAACCAGGAGCTGAAATAAAAGCAGTTCTTTTCATGGCCACAGTCTCGGTCTTGGTCTAGTCCTGGTCTAGTCCTGGTCTAGTCCTGGTCTAGTCCTGGTTCATTTCAGCGTTTTTTCGTCTCACATCTGTCCCAAATCACAAAACATTTTGGTCCCATTTCATCTGAATAAAACAAATTTAAAATGACAGTTGAAAGTCCCTCTGTCAGAGGCTGGAGTCTGAGTGAGCTTCATTCTCGGCCTCTGTTGTCGGTGCAGCTGCTCGTAGCTGTGGGCGTCAGGTCTGTGGTGCCTGTCGCGGCGGCACCGAACCCGGTGGTGGACACCGGAAGTAAGGGATGCTGTCAAGCTGAAGAAGGAGTCCTATCGGGCCTTGCTGGCTCGGGGGACTCCTGAGGCAGCTGATGGTACCGACTGGAGAGGAGAATCCGTCTGATAGTCGAACCTCGGATTCAGGAGGAGCAGTGTGGTTTTGGTCCTGGTCGTGGACACTGGACCAGATCTACACTCTCCATCGGTGCTCGAGGTTCATGGGAGTTTGCCCAACCAGTCCACATGTGCTTTGTGGACTTGGAGAAGACTTTGGACCGTGACCCTCGTGGTGTCCTGTGGGGGGCGCTCTGGGAGTCTGGGGTCCGGTCCCTGTATGACCGGAGCAGGAGCTGTGTTCATTGCCGGCAGTAAGTCAGACCTGTTCCCGGTGCATGTTGGACTCCGCCAGGGCTGCACCTGTCACCGGTTCTGTTCATTGTATTTATGGACAGAGTTTCTAGGCGCAGTCAGGGGCCGGAGGGTCCGGTTTGGGGACCACAGGATTTCATCTCTGCTGTTTGCAGATGATGTTGTCCTGTTGGCTTCATCGAACCAGGACCTGCAGCACTGGGGCGGTTTGACCCGAGTGTGAAGCGGCTGGGATGAAGATCAGCTCTTCCAAGTCCGAGGCCGTGGTTCTCGACCGGAAAAAGGTGTCTTGCCCTCTCCAGGCGGGTGGAGAGTCTCTGCCTCAAGTGGAGGAGTTCAAGTATCTCGGGGTCTTGTTCACGAGTGAGGGGAGGACGGAGCGTGAGATTGACAGGTGGACAGGTGCAGCTTCGGCAGTGATGCGGTCGCTGTATCGGTCGTTGTGGTGAAGAGGAGCTGAGTCGAAAGGCGAAGCTCTCGATTTACCGGTCAGTCTTCGTTCCTCCTCTCACCTCTGGTCATGAGTCTGGGTAGTGACCGAAAGGGACGAGATCACGTGGATACAAGCGCTCGAAATGAGTTTCCTCCGCAGGGCGTCTGGGCGTCTCCCTTAGAGACAGAGTGAGGAGCTCAGTCACACGGGAGGAGCTCGGAGTAGAGCCGCTGCTCCTCCACGTGGAGAGGAGCCAGTTGAGGCTCGGGCATCTGTTCTGATGTCTCCTGGACGTGTCCCTCAGGAGGTGTTTCATGTCCCACCTGGAGGAGGAGGAAGACCCAGGACACACTGGAGGGACTATGTCTCTGGACTGGCCTGGGAACACCTCAGGTCCCCCCGGAGGAGCTGGAGGAAGTGTCTGGGGTGAAGGAAGTCTGAGAGTCCCTGCTTAGGCTGCTGCCCCCGAGACCCGACCCCGGATAAGTGGACGAAAATGGATGAATGGATGAATAAAATGACAGAGATTTACAAAACGAACTGAAGATCTGTGTCCAAGTTCAGTCCTGGTTTAATCCTGGTCTGGTCCCTGGTCTGGTCCTGGTCTGGTCCTGGTCTAGTCCTGGTCTGGTCCTGGTCTGGTCCTGGTCTGGTCTGGTCTGTCTGGTCCTGGTCTGGTAGTCCTGGTCTGGTACCTTCTCTGGTCTAGTCCTGGTCTGGTCTGTCCTGGTCGGTCCTGGTTAGTCCTGGTCTAGTCCTGGTCTGGTCCTGGTCTGGTCCTGGTCTGGTACCTTCTGGATGGTCTGGAGCATGGACCAGCCTCCGTTCCAGGGTTTGGTCGACTTCTTGATGCAGTTGAGACTCGCCATGCTGTGCCACTTCCTGTCCTCCAGTTTACGATAAAACGCGTTCGCCAACATCAAGACCGAGTCGTACAGGTACAGGGTCGACACCTGCCGGCAGGGGCGGGGACGGGACAGGTGACAGGTGAGGAGAGAGAGAAGAGGGAGGAGAGTAAAAGTATTTAAAGTGAGTAAAGACACGGAGGAGAACTTGATGTTTCTGCTCTGAGCTTCACTGCAGAACAAACGTAACTTTTACACTTTAAAGTTTGATTTTTAAACACTCCTGATGGAACTGGATCTGGTTCTGGTTCTGGAGTCTCACCTGGAGGTTCTGGAGGTTCTGGAGGTTCTGGAGGTTCTGGTCATGTTCTCACCTGTAGGTTCTGGAGGTTCTGGAGGTTCTGGTCGTGTTCTCACCTGTAGGTTCTGGAGGTTCTGGAGGTTCCGGTCATGTTCTCACTTGTAGGTTCTGGAGGTTCTGGAGGTTCTGGTCGTGTTCTCACCTGTAGGTTCTGGAGGTTCTGGTCGTGTTCTCACCTGCAGGTTCTGGAGGTTCTGGAGGTTCTGGTCGTGTTCTCACCTGCAGGTTCTGGAGGTTCTGGAGGTTCTGGTCGTGTTCTCACCTGCAGGTTCTGGAGGTTCTGGAGGTTCTGGTCGTGTTCTCACCTGCAGGTTCTGGAGGTAGCCCTCCTGCGGGTCGCAGAGCAGGGAGGAGATGCGGTGGTCCTGTCGCACACAGCGGTTGTGAGGGTCTTTCTGGGGACTGTGTGGGTCCCTCAGGGGGAAGATCTGCCTGATGATGGTGACTCTGCCCAGAGCCGAGTGAGCGAGCTCCAGAACCTCCCCGTCGCTCACCTCCTGCACCACAGAACCGGGTCAAAGTCCAAACGTTCACACAGTCACATGACCAGAGTTTAACTGAACGCTTCATCTGCTCCAGAAACACAGATTCCTGAAACATGTGAGGACACGTCACACCACCGTCACCGTGGGATTTCTCAGTAAAAACAACGACTTCATCTGCGTTTCCTCCTCCTGCTTTTGTCCGTTCATGTTGTCATGGTGACGAAACACTCAAACACATCGATCCTTTTCACGTCATCTCAAGTGTCCCGCTGCTGGTTTGTGGAAACCATCATTTTGAGGATTTCTTGTTGAAATAAACTCAGATTTTCACAGAATGTTTGAACAGATGAAGATTTAGTATTTGATGTTTTATTTTGGTTCTGTTTTCAGGTTGAGCCGTTCACTCCCACAGAAAAATCATTTTGTGTCTGTGACATTTGCTGCACAAACTTCCTCTTTACATTTTTAGTACAACGTCCAAATTTGTTTTAAGTTGATGAAGTTTTTTTTTTAACAGATTTTGCTCTGAAGCTGCTCAGTCTTTGCTGTTGTTGCTGTTGTTGTATCTTGTGTTTTATCTTACTGTGATCAGATTTGTGTTTGGGGGGAACATGGACTCACACTTGTCTCCACCGGGACAGAAAACGGGGAATTTCTTGTACAAATTAACATTAAATGTGCATTTGTGTTTCGACGTGTTTCAGACCGACTGTTCTGAGTCACAGACGCCACGAGAGACGCTCAGTTTAACGACACAATGAAAGATCAATAAACCCTGGACATTTACATCAATTTATATTAAAAATAAATAAATTAATTAATTAATTAATAAATAAAAACCTGGACGACCAGAACAGGACGTGAAAAAGTGACATGTCCAGGGAAAAACGGACATTTGGTTAAAGAGTTTGTAACTAAAATGTGTTGGGCCGACATGTCCCATCATGCACCTGGAGACCATGTGACCTCCACCTGCTCTGTGATCATCTGGAGTTTTCTCTGATGAAGCTGAAGAACGGAAACGTGTTGCTGTAAGTTTAACTTTATTATTTATTATTTTGTTCTTTTTGAGCCTCAGTTTTTTCATCTTTGTTTCTGACGTTCGTCCCTGAACTGAAAAACCGACAGAACAAATCTGCAGTTTTGTGTTCGTCCGAGTTTCTCCAGCCTCCTGAAGATTCACAAAGAAAATGTGACTTTACTAATTCACGTTGGTCATGAAAGTTTCTGCAGAACTATTTCTCTGTTTCGCCTTCGTTAAACATTATTATTACACATTCTTTCATTCTTCTCCTTGTTTGTTTCGCACGATCATAAACGATAAACGTTTTTCACCTTCGTTAACATTATTATTAGTTTGCATAACCATCAACGTGGGAAAACAAATAAATAAAATAAAATAGTAAATAAAAAAAAAAAAAATAAATAAAAAAGATTAAAAAAATAAAATTAATAAATAAAATAAATAAAATAAATAAATAATAGATAAATAAATAAATAAATAAATAAAATTGAAAAACATAAAAAAAATAAATACATAAAAAATAAAATATAAAAAATAAAATTAAATAAATAAATAAATAGATAGATAAATAGATAAATAAATAAATAAAATAAAATAAAATGAAATGAGGAAGAAAGAAATTAGCGTTAGAGAGTTTGGTTTGTAAAATAAAGTGACTTTAAACTGTTGTGTTTTGGAAAATCTGGAGCTGGAGTTGATGAATTGTGCATTGAGTTTTGTTTGTTTTAATTTATATTTTGTCTCTTATATGTCCAGTGTGTGGAGTTGTGAATGCAAATTTGTTGTGAAAAAAAAAAAATAAATAAATAAATAAACTATTTCCTTTAATGTCGCGTTCAGTTTCACATTTTTATTTTCACCAAACCCGTGACAATCTGGTCTCTCTGAACTCAAGTGCACGTTACTCTGTCACCGCTGAACATTTGTCCGTAGACACACAGGTAGAACCCCCCCTCCCCGTGCGCTTCTGAACGTGGAGCTTGTTTAAACAAACTCCCACCGGCTCCAACACAAACAACTTAATTAATGAGACAAACGAGCGTCGCAAACTCACCACATGTGCACGACAAACGGAGAGACGGAGGGATGGAGGGATGGAAGAGAGAGAGAGAGAGACGGATAAAAGAGAAAAAAGTATTTGAGACGATTCAAAAACGTCCAATTAAAGAAAACAGAAACAAGAACGAGTGACGAGCCACAAACAAATAAACAAACAAACGAAAGAACGACGAGAGATTTAATGAAGAAATGTGTCTGGAACGAAACGAAAGAAAGAGAGAGAAGAGAGAGAGAAGAGAGGAGGAGAGAGAGAACAGAGGAAGAGAGAGAGAACAGAGGAGGAGAGAGAGAACAGAGGAGGAGAGAGAGAACAGAGGAGAGAGAGAACAGAGGAAGAGAGAGAGAACAGAGAGAGAGAGAACAGAGGAAGAGAGAGAGAACAGAGGAAGAGAGAGAGAGAGAGGAGAGAGAGAACAGAGAGAGAGAGAGAGAGAACGAGAGAACAGAGGAGAGAGAGAACAGAGAGAGAGAGAGAGAGAGAGAGACGAAGAGAGAGAGAGAGAGAGAGAACAGAGAGAGAGGAGAGAGAGAACAGAGGAAGAGAGAGAGAGAAGAGGAGAGAGAGAGAACAGAGGAAGAGAGAGAACAGAGGAAGAGAGAGAGAACAGAGGAAGAGAGAGAGAACGAGAGAGAGAGAGAGAGAGAGAGAGAGAGAGAGAGAGAACGAGAGAGAGAGAGAACAGAGAGAAGGAGAGAGAGAACAGAGAGAGAGAGAGAGAGAGAGAGAGAGAGAGAGAGAGAGAGAGAACAGAGGAAGAGAGAGAGAACAGAGGAGAGAGAGAGAGAGAGAAAGAGAGAAGAGGAGGACAGAAGCGAAAGAGAACCAGGATGAGGGGGGAAAGGAGGAGAGAAGGAGAGAGAGAGAAAGGGGGAGAGGGACAAAAGAGGAAGAGAAGAGAGGAGAGGAGGAAAGAAGGGGGGGAGAGGAGAAGAGAAGAGGAAGAGAAGTACAGGAAGAGAGAGAGAGGAGGGGAGAAAAGGAGAGAGGAGGAGAGAGGAAGAGGGGGAAAGAAGAGAGGGGGAGAGGAGGAGAAGAGAAGAGAAGAGAAGAGAAGAGGAGAGGAGAAGAGAGAAGAGGGGGAGAGAGGAGAGAGGTATAGAAGAGGAGGAGGATGAGAGGGGGAAAGGAGGAAGAGAGGAGAGAGAGAAAAAGCAAGGGGTAGAGGGGAGGGAAGAGAGGAAGAGGAGGAGAAGGAGAGGAAAAGAGAGGGGGAACGGCAGAAGAGAGATTGGGGAAGAGGAGAAGAGGACGAGGAGAGAGAGCGGTAGGAAGGAGTGGAGGAGAGAAGGAGGAGAGAAGGAGAAAGGGACCAAAGAGGAGAGGAGGGGAGAGAGAGAGGGGGAGGGAGAGAAAAGAGGAAAGGAGTAAAAAGAGGGGCAGAGAGAAGAGGAGAGAAGGGAAGAGAGAGGAGAGGAGGAGAGAGAAAAGAGAGAGAAAGGGAGAGAGGGGAGGAGGCAGAAAAAAAGATAGGGGGAGGACGAGAAGAGAAGAAAGTGGCAGGAAGGAGCGAAGGAGAAAGGAGGAGAGGAAGAAATGAGAGAAGGTGGGACCTCATTACTGCAATTTATAATTAGAGACACGAAGAGGAAGAAGAGGAGGAGAGAGAGAGGATGGAGAGATGGATAGAGAGAGGGAGAGAGGGAGGGAGGGAGGGAGGGAGAGAGGGAGAGAGGATGGATGAGAAGAGAGAGGGAGAGAGGGAGAGAGGGAGAGAGGGATGACGCAGGGTTTGAGCTGAAAATAAAGGACAGGGCAGAGTTGTGCCGAGAGACGATCGTTAAAAAGTTGAGACAAAAGAAAGATTTATAAGAAGAGAAAGACGGAGAGAACGACTCAGGTGAAAGACGAGTTTAATGGGGACGGAGACGGAGGGATGAGAGAAAAGAGGAGAGGAAAACGAGAAGAGAGGAACAAAGAGAAACGAGAGAGAAACGAGAGAGAAACGAGAGAAGAAAGACTTTACTGTCGTTAAAATCTGTCTCTGCCCCAAGAACGAAAAACAACAAACTGAACCAAGATCCTGGTTTAGACCTGGTTTAGTCCTGGTTTAGTTCTGGTTTAGTCCTGGTTTAGACCTGGTTTAGACTGGTTTAGTTCTGGTTTAGTCCTGGTTTAGACCTGGTTTAGTCCTGGTTTAGTCCTTGTTTAGTCCTGGTTTAGTTCTGGTTTAGACCTGGTTTAGTTCTGGTTTAGTCCTGGTTTAGACCTGGTTTAGACCTGGTTTAGTTCTGGTTTAGTCCTAGTTTAGACCTGGTTTAGACCTGGTTTAGTTCTGGTTTAGACCTGGTTTAGTTCTGGTTTGGTTTAGTCCTGGTTTAGTCCTGGTTTAGTCCTAGTTTAGACCTGGTTTAGACCTGGTTTAGTTCTGGTTTAGACCTGGTTTAGTTCTGGTTTAGTCCTGGTTTAGACCTGGTTTAGACCTGGTTTAGTTCTGGTTTAGTCCTGGTTTAGACCTGGTTTAGTCCTGGTTTAGTCCTTGTTTAGACCTGGTTTAGTCCTGGTTTAGACCTGGTTTAGACCTGGTTTAGACCTGGTTTTAGACCTGGTTTAGTCCTGGTTTAGTCCTGGTTTAGTCCTGGTTTAGTTCTGGTTTAGTCCTGGTTTAGTCCTGGTTTAGACCTGGTTTAGTCCTGGTTTAGACCTGGTTTAGTTCTGGTTTAGTCCTGGTTTAGTCCTGGTTTAGTCCTGGTTTAGTTCTGGTTTAGACCTGGTTTAGTCCTGGTTTAGACCTGGTTTAGTTCTGGTTTAGTCCTGGTTTAGTCCTGGTTTAGTTCTGGTTTAGTCCTGGTTTAGTTTAGACCTGGTTTAGTTCTGGTTTAGTCCTGGTTTAGTCCTGGTTTAGTCCTGGTTTAGTCCTGGTTTAGACCTGGTTTAGTTCTGGTTTAGACCTGGTTTAGTCCTGGTTTAGACCTGGTTTAGACCTGGTTT